AGCTTCCCCATGAAAGAGGGGGTCTCAGTGAGCTAACGCTCAGAGGTTCTGTGCTGGATCCCTATAACCACCTTCGATCTGGGGAACCGATCCTTCCTGCGTGGGTGGTTACTCTATTGGAACCCATGTCCTGTCATGAAGACCAAAGAGGATGTAGGTGCTTTGAAAACTGGGTGCTTTGTGGACAGCCAAGGGTCCCCCGTGAAACCTGAAGCTCCTGCCATACTGTGCTTCCTGCAGTGTGGCTCTGACTGTGCCTCTACTCTCCTCCAAAACCCTCAGGGTCTCCCTACAAGGGACATCACATCCCTCAGGGAGCCATCCCAGCTCTCTTCAGGGAAATCTGACACATTCCTGGGCTCCCTCCAAATTCAGTGTTGGTGGAGAGCCCTTTCTCCTTGCTCTGATCTGATGATTTTCCTTAACTCACTGCTCCCACATTTCCAGATCCCGCTCATCATTTAAAGTCGCCTTCTGCATGAAACTCAAGCTGCCTCCCTCCAAACGATCCCACATTTACCCACCTTACGCTGAGAACTTCACTCTTGTGGACTTCTCAAAATCCTTACTCTGCACCAGTTTAAACACAGCCACATTTCTATCTGTAGCAGTTCCATGTGTTTGAGCACACTGTGGTGGGAAGAGCACACAACCCACAGTCCAGGGTTCGAATTTTGTTTCTGTCATTAGGCATATGATCTTGAGGAAATTAGTTAACTGCTCTGGCCCGTAGTTATCTTATTTGTAAAAAGGGGGCAGTTGCTCCCATTCACAGGATTATTGGTAGATCAGTGGTTCTCAACTATGTGTGTGTGTGTGTGTGTGTGTGTGTGTGTGTGTCTGTATTCACAACCCATACAGACATTTTTGGTTGTTACAAGTTGGAAGGGAAGCTACTGGTATTTAATGGGTAGAGCCTAGGGATACTTTAAAGCATCCTATAATACAGACACACCTCACTTCTTTGCACTTTGCTTTACTGCACTTCACAGATACTGCATTTTTTACTAATTGAAGGTTTATGGCAACCGTGTGTTGAGCAAGTCTATCAGCACCATTTTCCTTTTTTTTAAATTTTTTTAAAAATTTATTTATGATAGTCACACACACAGAGAGAGAGAGAGGCAGAGACACAGGCAGAGGGAGAAGCAGACTCCATGCACTGGGAGCCCAATGTGGGACTCGATCCCGGGTCTCCAGGATCGCGCCGTGGGCCAAAGGCAGGCGCCAAACCGCTGCGCCACCCAGGGATCCCCAGCACCATTTTCCTCACAGCATGCTCACTTCATGTCTCTGTGTCACATTTATCAAAATTCTCAATCAATTCTGATTCTCAGAATCAAAAATTCTCACAATACTTCAAACTTTTTCATTATTATTATATTTGTTAAGGGGATCTGTAATCAGTGATCTTTGATGGTATTTAGTATGGTAATTGGTAATTGCTTTGGAGCACCACAAACCACACCCACATGAGACAGTGATCTTAATCCATAAATGTTGTGTGTGTCCCGAATGCTCCACTGACCAGCTGTTCCCCCATCTCTCTCCCTCTCCTGGGTCCTCCTCATTCCCCGAGACAGAGCAATATCGAAATTAGGCCAACGAATAGCCACCACAATGGCCTCTAAGTGTTCAAGTGAAAGGAGGAGTTGCACATCTCTCACTTTAAATCAAAAGTTAGAACTGATTAAGCTTAGTAAAGAAGGGATATTGAAAGCTGAGATGGGCCAAAAGGTAGACTTCTTGCACCAAATAGTCAAGTTCTGAATGAAAATGAAAAGTTCCTGAAGGAATTTAGGAGTGCTACTCCAGGGGACACATCACTGATTAGAAAAAACAGCCTTATCGCTGATAACAGAGAAAGTCTGAGTGGTCTAGGGAGAGGATCAAACTCCATACAACATTCCCTCAAGCCAAAGCCTAATCCAAAGCAAGGCCCTAACTCTTCAGGTCTATGAAGTCTGAGAGAGCAGAGGAAACCGCAGAAGCAAAGTTGGAAGCTAGCAGAGGTTGGTTCATGAGGTGTAAGGGAAGCAGCCTCCTCCTTAACACCAGCAAGGTGACGTGGCAAGTGCTGGCGTGGAAGCTACAGCAAGTCATTCAGAGGATTAGTTCATTGGTTCATTAATGTACCTTCCCTAGGAGGTACATTAGTTCATGATGGTGGCTCCCCTAAATAACAGGCTTTCAATGTAGACAAAACCGCCTTCTCTCGAAAGAAATGCCCCTAGGACTTCCCTAGCCAGAGATGAAGTCCATGCCTGGCTTCAAGGTTCAAAGGACAGGCTGACTCGTGGTAGCGGCTAAGGCAGCTGGCGACGAGAAGTTGAAGCTAATGTTCGTTTGCCATTCTACAAATCCTAAGACCTTTAAGAATTATGCTAACTCTACTCAGCCTATGCTCCCTACATGGAGTAACAGCACCTGGATGACAGCCCATCTGTTTACAACATGTTTACTGAATACTTTAAGCCCACTGTTGAGACCTACTGCTCAGGGAAAAAAAAAAAAAACCCTTTAAAAATATGACTGCTTGTTGATAAAGTACCTGGTACTCAAGAGCTCTGATGGGGATGGACAATGAGGTTTTTATGCCTGTTAGCACAACATCCATTCCACAGCTCAGGGATCAAGGAGTCATTTCTACTTTCAAGTCTTATTATTTAAGGAATATATTTCATAAGGCTATAGCTGCTATAGGTAGCAATTGCTCTGATGGGTCTGGGCAAAGTAAAAACAAAAAATTTTTTTTAAAGAGTGTCTATGCCCAATGTGGGGCTTGAACTCATGACCCTGAGATTAAGAGTCACATGCTCTACTGATGGAGCCAGTCAGGTGTCCCTGGGCAATGTACATTGAAAACCTTCTGGAAAGGATTCACCATTCCAGGGCCATTAATAACATTGGTGATTCCACATTAACAGGAGTTTGAAAGGGGTTGATTCCCACCCTTATGGATGACTGTGAGGGTCAAAGACTCCAGTGGAGAAAGTAAGTGCAGATGTGGGGGAAACAGCAAGAGAACTAGAAGGCAGGCATGAGGATGTGACTGGATTGCCGCGTCCATTCATGATAAAGGCTGAATGAATGAGGAGTTGCTTCTTACGGATGAGCAAAGAAATTGGCTTCTTGAGATAGAAACTCCTCCTGGTGCAGATGCTGTGAGGATCGTCGAAATGACAACAAAGGGTTCAGAATATTACATCAACTTCGTTGATCAAGCAGCCGCAGGGAATTGGCTCCAATTTTGAAAGAAGTTCTGCTGTGGGTAAAATGCTATCAAACAGCACTGCGTGCTGCAGAGGAGTTTTCCCTGAAAGGAAGAGTCCGTCAATATGGCAAACTTCACTGTTGCCTTCTTTTAAGCAGTTGCCACAGCCACCCCAGTCTGCAGCTGCTGCCCCCTCCTCAGTCAGCAGCCGTCCACACCGGGGCTGGACCCTCCACCAGCAAAAAGGCCATGACTTGCTGCAAGTGTGGATGCTGGTCGGCACTTATAGCAATGCAGTGTTTTTTAATTAAGACCTGTACATGTTCTAGACATAATCCTACTGCATACCTAATGGACTACAGTACAGCGTAAACACGACTTTTACATGCACCGGGAAACAAAAAAATTCACTGGACTGGCGTTATGGTGATGCTCTCTTGTGGTGGATTGAAATTGAGCCGGCAATGGCTTCCAGGGATGCCTGGGCCTGGGCCAGCTGCTCACCATGAAGAATCCGCTGGCCCCGAACATCAGTTGCGGTGAGGGTGGGAAACTTGGTACAGAGAGGGGACAGGGTGCCTGTGGACTCTAATTCCCTGCAGGTGCTTTGCAAGTGTCCATCCTTCCTCTTTCCACCCCAAGGGTCAGCTTTTCCTGGGCAAGAAGAGGTATGATTCGTGCCTGTTGTGCACGTCTCCTAGGGCGCAGTGGTTGAATGTTAGAGTCAGGAAGCAAGGATGGAAGATAAAGGGGAAGTGCTCTTATTCTAGCAGGTTCTAGGGAAAGGCAGCTGATGCCCCCAGTGTGGGGATGAGAGGCGCCAGGGTAGTAAGAGGGAGGGAGTTCTCCAAGTGGAATAATATGGAAAGGAGGCTGGTGGTTGACGAGCTGGGGCTGGGTGCCGCCGGGAGACCCTGCAGGCCGCCTGTGTCCCTCTCGGGCTCTTGTCACTTGATGGAGGTGGCGGTCTTTGTTGCGGTCCGTGAATCACGGTGCCTCCACCAGGGAGGAATGTGCCTGATTCAGGCTGCGGGCCTTGACCCCTGCCAGCCGCCCAAGTGGCTATTTCGGTAATAACACCGGGCGCTTTTATGTCTGCCTTTCATCACAGATCTCGAGGCGCAGCGCAAACATTAATTAAGGCTCCTGGCGTTCCAGGAGGCAGGTGTGTGAGTGTCACTCTCCCCATGTAGCTGGGAGGGTAAACTGAGCCGCGGACGGCCGGTGGTTCAGCCCAGGGCAGCTCTGCCTTCCTGAGGCTGCGATTTGGAGGAGAAGCCGGGGTGTCACAGCCTCCCCACTGCCACCTAGACTTCCTTCTCTTCTTCCCCAGGCTCTCCTGGTCCTACCGAGGACAGAAATGGTTTCCTGACCCCATGAGGGCAGCAGGGAGGGGGCTTCAGCGCAGGGGTGGAGAGTGGGGAGCCTCTCATTCTTGCAAGGGCCCCTTGCCTGCCTGCGTGGCACCTCTGAGGTGGGGGTGGGGGTGGGAGTGGGTATAGGGGTGGGTGTGGGGGTGCCAGTTGGGTTAGGTAGATAACACTGTTCTTGCCAATCTTCTGTAAATTTGGAATTACTTCGAATACAAAGCTTGGAGGACACAGAAGGGAGCCCCGCTCTCCGGGCACGGCCCTTCCCTGGGGCCCAGGCGAGCAGGGGGAGAGGGAAGCGCGTCCTTTAAAGCCCCGGGGCCCGCCCCTCCCGCCCCTCCCGCCGCGAGCGCGCCCTGCCCCGCGGTGACTCACCCCCCGACGTTTAAATACGGGCCGCGCCTGGTCGCCGCGTTCATGCTGCAGCCGGGAGGCCCGTCCTGCTGTCACTGCCTCTGGTCCGCGGCGGGCGGGCGCCGAGCTGCTGGTAGGTGGGCACCCCGCCCCGGACCTGGGATGGGCCCCCCGGGATGCGCTCCTGCTCCTCGGGATGCGGGACGTGCTGCGGGAGGCGTCCCCCGGGATGCGCCCCTTGGGATGCGGGATGCGCTCCCCGGGATGCTCCCCTCGGGATGCGCCCCCCCCCCGATGGGCCCCTGCGGGATGCGCCCCTCGGGATGCGGGATGCGCCCCTCGGAATGCGCCCCCCGGGATGGGCCCCGCAGGATGAGCCCCCCGGGATACGCCCCTCCGGACGGGCCCCTCGGGATGCGGGACATGCTGTGGGATGTGCCCCTCGAGATGCTGGATGCGCTCCCCCGGATGCTCCCCTCGGGATGCGCCCCTCAGGACGGGCCCCTCAGGATGCGCCCCTCGGGATGCCGGATGGGCCCCTCTAGATGCGCCCCCCCCCCATGCGGAATGCGTCCCACCCCGGGATGGCGCCAGGAGGGGCCGCGCGGCGCCCCCCTGAGGGAGTGGGCCGGTCCTCCCCGCGCCCAGCCAGCCCCCCCACGGACCAGCCTCCCCGTCCCACGGACCCTCAGCACCTCTCCATCTGGGGGTGCTGACCAGATGTTCCGCAGAGCCAAAATGCATTGAAAGTTGACCAGATTAGCGCACTGGTGACCCCTCGAGTTTATCTCTTTCTGGGACTAGCTCTGCTTTGGGGAAGAGTTTCTCTTTTCCAGAGACTAAGGTTATTTGAACCCTCCTTTCCCCAGCGCTCGCTGCCGGGGCGGCCCTGGCCTGCCTGGCATGTGCGTCCGTCCAGGACCAAGGAGGACTCCCCGGAAAGACAGATCTGTCCTCTTCGGGGGACTTAGAGTTGCCACAACAGTGGCTGCAGCCGAAGTGCTGTTGCTGGGTTCAGATTCCCAGTTTGGACTTGAGATGTGGTCTCAGAATTGCTTCAGGCCCTAAGTCTGTGTGTGGCTTAGGCACCCCTGTTCTGGGGGCCCCCTCTGGGCAGCGGCTGCGTCGGGTGTGGCCGGGGGACACAGGGGAGCAGAGCCAGGGACGGGCTTGTGATGCGGGTGGCGTGATTTAACACAGTGACTCTGGTAGCTCTCCTGGCATCTCTGCTCTAATGCAGAGGCAGGAGCAAGGCCAACGAACCAGCTGAGGAAAACCAGAACTTTTCTAGAACTTTCCCACCTGTGCCAAAGTGTGAGAGCCAGTCTGCCTCCAGGGCCAAATGTGTTACCCCAGGGCAGGCTGCGGTGCTGGAGATGGTGTCTCCCAGCCTGAAGGTGCTGGATGCCTGCCTCCAGGATTCTCTGGGATTATCTCACCCTCCCCAGCGGCTTCCAGATGTGCTGGCTGCCACTTACTCCATAACTGAGAAACTGTCGCATGGCCGTCACCTCTTTTATTGTGCACTGCTGGACATCCGGGTGCATTTCGGGCCAGACAGGCCCATTCGCCTGTGGTCTCGAGTCGCGCGACTCTACAATGGTGAGACAAGCCTGAGAGAGGTCAGGGGGCCAGGGGTCCCCAAAGCCTCCCTCAGGGCTGGCTGGCTCAATACCTGCAGGGGGGTGGGCTGCGGGGGAGCAGAAGTGCGGCGAGCCGAGGGGAGGCCATCCCACCTGCGTCCGGCCAGTGCACATCCAGGCTGCTGGCACGTGGCAGGTGGCCTCCCAGAGGCCTGACGGCGAGGGAACAACTGCAAGCTCCTGGTCTCACTGCCTCGTCTCTGGGCTTTGAGGACACGGGGTTTAGAAACTGCTTCCGAGGTGCTTGGTGGAGGTGTTCGTCCGCCTCTATCTTATGTGGGTGCATGAGGTGTCACCCTGAGGACGGGCTGTAATTTCTCACATCCAGGCCCCAAGCAGGAGCTCCTTGCTCCGCTGGCAAGTTGGTGTCTCCTGCCACTTTTGCCACGTTAATTGTAGGTCCTCTCTGGCCTCTGCAGGAAGCCCTCCCTCCCCTAACCCTGGGGCTGGAAAGGACTTGCTTTTTCTTACTTATTTTCTTTTTTAAACAAATGAACAATATTTTGGCTTTGAAGGTCCAGGAGAGATGAGGTCAACAATGGGGCCAGGTGGGGAACAGCTGTCCCTTGGGGCTTCAGGGTGCTTTGTATTTAGGGTAGAGCATTCTTAATGTGGGCAAATCCCCGAAGGGACCGTGTGTTGAGATTACGGGATTAACACTTTCCGGCAACCCCTTTTGTTCCTTCTCTCTACTCTTTCAGACCCCTCATGTGAAATTGAGCTATAGGAGCATCAGAGCAGCGTTAAGGAAGAACAAACATCCCTCCAAACTGTGGAGCCTGGGAGTTGGGAGGCGCACTTGACCCTGGTTAATAATGCTGGGCAGCTGGCGGGTGGAATGTATATGAGCCTGGGATCATTTTGGGACAGAGGGAGTAAAGCTCCCTCCCCCCACCCCCGCCCCTTCCAGGCATTGCCAGACACATGGTTGATAATGTCGTGAATCCTCATGATGAGATTCAGGGATTCACTGAGCTCTGCGCTTAGGTAGAGTCCTGATCTGGGTGTCAGAAATCTTCAAATGACTGTATGACCTTGGACAAGTCCCCTCCTCCCTCTGCGCCCCGTAGTGTAACTGTCTACAAAACAGCCAAGTGGTTTGACTGGAGAGCCTCAAGAGCCCTTCCACCTCTGATGCCCGGGACTCTAAGCGCCGCTTCTGGAAGTGGCCTCTACTGCTGGGTTCAGTTTAGCTTCCATTTCAGATTTTTGTGGGGGGGGGTGCAGAAAAGGGCCCTGGAAGGGAATATTCATAGAGGTCGCTAGGCGCAGTTGTGGCCCAACCTTCAGCCTCCCTGATCCTCAGTTCAGTCTCTCTGTTGGTGGCAGTAAATGACCCAGGTCATGTGTTTAAGCTGGGCTGGACCCCAACGGGGGCTTCTGAGTGTAGACCGTAGGCACCTGCAACAGACTCACCTGGCAGAGCACTGGGCCCACCCAGACGGAGGAGTCAGGATCTCTGTGGGTGGAGTCTCCAGAAATCCTGATTTTACTCAACAGCAGAGCAAGCAGGAATTGTCATTGACATTTATTGGGCATCTGTATTGTGCCAAGAACGACTCTAAGTGCTTCACAGGCAGTGCTCACTTCGGCCTTACAGCCACGCTGCTGTGAGGTCAGTTTTATGAAGCAAGTGTTCCAGGATCTTCCAGGTGATTTTATGAACTGATGTGGGGTGTAGGGTGGTTACCCCCTGCTTAGTGAGATGGGGATGTCTGGCTGCACTGAGCCTCTCAATTGATGACTTCAGACTCATTGGGCTGAGCATTGATGAGCAGCTTTTAATTTTTTAAAAAAATTTTATTTATTCATGAGAGACACAGAGAGAGAGGCAGAGACACAGGCAGACGGAGAAGCAGGCTCCATGCAGGGAGCCCGATGCGAGACTTGATCCCGGGACCCCGGGATCACGACCTGAGCTGAAGGCAGATGCTCAACCGCTGAGCCGCCCAGGGGCCAGATGAGCAGCTTGATCGAGACCCATACTGGCTGGAGGGGGTGGATCAGAACCCCTCACAACTCCCAGGCTGCCACCTCCCTCAGCTGGATTGGGCAACGTGTCCCTGTGGATAACACCACGTTTAGGGAGACTCTCTGGGAAGAGGGCTCAGCCCAGTGAGGGAGATCTTCTCTCTGGGTCTCAGCTCCCCTCAGTGCCCTGGATGGTGGCAGGACCAGACACTCACTCCTGAGTCCCATGAAATGGCTCTTGGCTCTCTGGGTGCCCTGATTAACACGTGGGTTTGCCCTGCCGGGAACACTCTGAGACAATGTAGATGGGTGTGAGTTCCCCCAGCGTCACATGAAGGTGGCGCCTGGCCAGGTGGCGTTGTCAGCCATTTGGGTGACCTATATGGGAGGGAGGATGGTGGGTCTTCAGGCCAGATTTCCTTTCTGTCTCTGGTCACAAGACATGAGAGCCAACAAGGGCCCTTGGAAGTCTTCACGGGAGGAGAAAGTAAGGTCCAGAGAATTTACCCAAACTCACACTCTGGTTTAGTGTCGGGACCAGAGTAACAGCACATCTGTCTGCCAGGCTCTTTCCAGAACCTTTGCTCCGTGGCACTGACATAGAAGGCATCTCCTCCCAGGGCATGTCATGTTTAAGGGATGCAAATGATGGTAATAAGCTGAAAAGGTGCCAACCCGCCAACCAACAAAGCCAAGGGCTTCGAGGCTAATTATGGGTTCACTCATGAGTCACAGGCAGCTCTCGCTGAAGGGACTCACAGCCCAAGTGCCTGGGCCAAGCGCTTCTACTCCCGGGGAGGGTCCGGGTGAGCTGTCTGTCTGTCTGCTCGGCTCACTGAGGTCCTGGGCCAGCGACAGACCCCAGGCTGGCCCGCCCCTTGGGACGGGGGCTGGACTGAGTAACTGCAGAGATGGAGAAGGCACTCGGCCGCCTGGGGGAGGAGGGTATAATTAGGGTAACTTCGTGGGTCTTTAACTGGCATCTGTCACGGCTGCCAAGCGGCCCTGGGCAGCGTCGGTTATTAGGCGGCTGCGTGCCGGCTGCTGAGGGCCAGGGCCGCTGAGCACGCCCGCGCTCGCTCCCCATCCCGGCCGGGCTGGCTGTCCAGGCGCCTCTGCGCTCCCCCCCCCCCCCCCACAGGGCTCTGCAGCTGGGGTGTGGAGGGCCCCACGGAGGGCCTCTGGAGCAGTCCGTGCCTGTGGCAGTAGCAAGTGCTGGAAAACAGGAAACCACCGCATGTGGTGCTGGGGTGGACTCCACAGACAGAAGGATTTATAAAAAGGAAAATCTGCAAATTCTTGCAATATTTGTCAAGCTGAGTGTGGTCCATTTTAAACAACAGTGGCTCTGTTCCCATAAGGGAATTATCTTTTCTCTCTTCCTCCCAAGCCATGAGGCACCCTCCCCGGCCCTGAGCCCTTCCTGGGGCTGGCTTGATGCCCCCACCCCAGCTGGGGAGCGCAGATGCAGAGAAGGTCCGGGATGGGTCCTCAGAGGGCATCGCATCCCACGCCCTCATTGACAGCTGGGGAGATTTGACAGACACTGCTTGGGGCTTGCCACATTATGGACCCAGAATTTAGTCTCTGACATTTAGGGTACGGCACCATTTTGAAGCATGCTGAGCAGAGTAGACATTAAAAATACGCAAGTACTAGCTCGCGTGTCTCCAGGGGCAAATAGAGCTGCACTTTTGTGAGTCAGTCCAGGGGTGTGAGTGTCCCCCCCCCACCTGCCCACACGGAGCCCTGGCAGCACAGGCACAATGGTCTCAGTAGCTGGATCCCATATCCTTGCTCTGGGACTCAGCCTTAGAATCCCGAAGCCTTGGGGAGAGGCAGGGCGTTCAGTACCTTACCAGGCGTAGGGATCCTCTGTGTCGCCTCCTTTCCAGCCTGTGGCTGCTCAGCCTCTGCTCTAACTCCATGGGTTGTCCATCCTGATTCAGACAAGCTCTCCTCAGTGGTGAGCTGAAATCTGCTGCCCCACAGCTTCGGCACACGTTTGTGACCCCTGGAGCCACAGTGAATCCCAGGGCGGTCCTTTGTGTATCCTTGGAAAGTGCCAGTAGCTTCCTTAACAGATCTCTTCTTCCAGCTCTCCGTGCATCCATGTTCCTTCAACGGATGCTCAGATATTCCGGTTTCTGGATCCCCTCACCATGCCCTTGCCCTTCTCTGAGGCCTTCGAGAGACTGGTTTGTTAGTAGCCCTCCTGACGTTCGGAGTGGCCCCGGGCACAGCAGCACAGCTGCGGCCTGATGAGGACAGTGCAGAGGAAGAGCATCGCTTCCCTTGTCCCACACTTCGTCCTTGTAGGTGCAGGCGAGGATCACACGGGTTGTGCTGGGCAGTCTCCTTTCTCTGTTACCATCAATGAAAAGCCTGAAGTCTTTGTCCTGGGGTGGGTGTTGAGACACCTTTTCTGTGTGCCCTCTGTAGACCACTCATTTCCTCTCTCAAGTTCTGGACCTGACTTTTGTCTGTGCGAGTTTGTCCTTTTAGTGTGTGTCCATGCAGAGGCCCCGGTCCTCTGCATCCCCAGGACTGTTGGCCACGTTATTATTCTTTCTTTCCTCCCTCATTTTATGTACCTATTCAAGTCCTTAATGCCAAATCACAACAGGTCAGGGCTTGGATGGTTGTGAATAAACGAAAAATCAAGGTCTGGGTGGATGAGGATGAACTTGGGTTCTGTCCCCAGGGCAGGCTTGTCGGGGGTGGGGAGGGTGGGCGCAGGAAAAAGGTGCATTGAGTTAAGACCAGGTTGGGAAGCCTGGATTATTCTGAGTTATGGGCCAGGTCTAGGACTCTGTGAGTTCAGGAAGAGAGACCAGAGAAATGCCTTCTCCACCCAGCCAGTTTATGCCCTACACACCATCATTTGAAATTCCTTCCTCTGACTCAGGATTTTTGCTCATTAAAAGGAAGGGCATTAAAGTAACACTCAAAGTAATCACCCAAGAGTCTGGAGATCCAGGCTTTAAGCTCTGAGCCTCAGTTTCCCTGCTTCCTTCATCCCCATAAATAGTGGGAATGTATGTATGATCATCCATCCTCCTGTTGGCTCTTCTCAGTGGTCTCAAGAGGGGGCAGAGGTTATCATCCCAACTTAACACATGAGGACGGTGAGCTTGAAGCTTCAAGTTTCCTTCAAGATCGAACAGCTAGTTGTGGTTCTTAACTATTCGTGGAGGGGGGCTCAGTGCCCATACCTCCTGTCTCCACCGCATTGTATACATTATCTATAGTTATGTATGTAGATAATTCCCACCACCCCTGACCTCAAACATCGAACCCTTCATGAATTTGCTTCCATGCCCAGACCAGCACCATGCCTGCGGCAGCATCTGGCCCTACCGCCTCTGGGCTCAAAGCGCATCATAAGTTTTCCTGGACCTCCTCGAGGTCACTCATGGTTTGGTGTGGAAACTGGACCTGGTAGTACCAGAGGCAGGCCCCTCGAACTGGCCGAGCTGCTACAGCCCCTTCAGTGAGACGGGAAGTAGCGCAGAGAATTGTCTTTCATTGAGAAGGTGGTTTGAATTAAACCTAAATGAAGCACGTGCGAGGGGGGGGGTCAAGGCAAGGCCAGGTGGTCACTCACAGCGATGGGGGCCAGGTGGGACCCAGGCAGAGGAAACAGCTGAGCTTGCCAGATCGGCAGTGCGTCCCGCCTTTGTTGGCTGCTGCTATTTTCCCAGCAGACCCCCAAATTTGTGGTCTTAGCATCTTCTCCCAGGTTCAGGCCCTATTTATTTGGTCTCATTTCCCATATGTTTCTCCTGAGGAGGTCATGTTCAACCAGCAAGTTCAGGTGCTTTGGGGGATAGATAGATGCATCTGCTCTGGGGATTTTATAACCAAACAAGATACTGTTCCTGCCTTAAGGAACCTCTAGGGATGAAAGATGAACATCCCTGCCCTTGAAAAGCTTATTGGCTAGAGAAGGACACAGGCAGGAACACAACAAATGCCACACAGAGCCAGCCGTGGCACGGCCATAATGGGCACTGGGGAGCCCACCTGCGTGGGAGGGTAACTAATGCTGATCACAGATCTGGGGAAGCTTCCTGGAGGTGACTGCGTTTGAGCTGGATTTGGAAGTATGGGCAGGACTCAGATAAGGACCAAGAGTACTCTGGGTGGAGGCATTTGCTTGGGCAAGGGCATAGGGAGAAGGTGAAGACGCTTGATGACCAGACCATAGGTGGCGTAAGTCGGGGCGTGGTGATGGAGTTCAAAGGCAAGCCAGATGTTGGCTTAAACCCCCAGCAGTGCGGTGAGGTGATCCTGACTAGGTTGCTGTCTCCCCTTGCAGAGACCATGCCGCTGAAACACTACCTTCTTTTGCTGGTGGGCTGCCAGGCCTGGAGCACGGGGCTGGCCTACTACGGCTGCCCAAGTGAGTGCACCTGCTCCAGAGCCTCCCAGGTGGAGTGCACTGGGGCACGCATCGTGGCAGTGCCCGCTCCCCTGCCCTGGAACGCCATGAGCCTGCAGATCCTCAACACGCACATCACTGAACTCAACGAGTCCCCGTTCCTCAACATCTCGGCCCTCATTGCCCTGAGGATTGAGAAGAATGAGCTGTCCCACATTATGCCTGGTACCTTCCGCAACCTAGGGTCACTGCGTTACCTCAGCCTCGCCAACAACAAGCTTCAGGTTCTGCCTATTGGCCTCTTCCAGGGCTTGAACAACCTCGAGTCACTCCTTCTGTCCAGCAACCAGCTGGTGCAGATCCAGCCAGCACACTTCTCCCAGTTCAGCAACCTCAAAGAGCTGCAGCTGCATGGCAACCACCTGGAATATATCCCCGACGGTGTCTTTGACCACCTGGTGGGCCTCACGAAGCTCAATCTAGGCAAGAATAGCCTCACCCACCTCTCGCCCAGGATCTTCCAGCGCCTGGGCAACCTCCAGGTCCTCCGACTGTATGAGAACAGGCTCTCAGAAATCCCTATGGGCACATTTGATGGATGTGGGAACCTCCAGGAGCTGGCCCTACAGCAAAACCAGATTGGTATGCTCTCCCCTGGCCTCTTCCACAACAACCGTAACCTCCAGAAGCTCTATCTGTCCAACAACCACATCTCCCAGTTGCCCCCTGGCATCTTCATGCAGCTGCCCCAGCTCAACCGTCTTACGCTTTTTGGGAATTCCCTGAAGGAGCTCTCACCAGGGATCTTTGGGCCCATGCACAATCTGCGTGAGCTCTGGCTCTACGACAACCACATCACTTCTCTGCCTGACAACGTCTTCAGCAACCTCCACCAGCTGCAGGTCCTGATCCTCAGCCGCAACCAGATCAACTACATCTCCCCAGATGCCTTCAACGGGCTGGTGGAGCTGCGGGAGCTGTCCCTCCACACCAACGCTCTGCAAGAGCTGGACGGGAGCGTCTTCCGCATGTTGGTCAACCTGCAGAACATCTCCTTGCAGAACAACCGCCTCAGACAGCTCCCGGGGAATATCTTCGCCAATGTCAACGGCCTCATGACCATCCAGCTGCAGAACAACCAGCTGGAGAACCTGCCCATGGGCATCTTCGATCACCTGGGGAACCTGTGTGAGCTGAGGCTCTATGACAACCCCTGGAGGTGTGACTCAGACATCCTTCCACTCCACAACTGGCTCCTGCTCAACAAACCCAGGTTGGGGACAGACACTCTCCCAGTATGTTTCAGCCCACCCAGTGTCCGAGGCCAGTCCCTCATCATCATCAACGTCAACGTTGCTGTCCCCAGTGTCCAGGTCCCAATGATTCCTGAGGTGCCCAGCTACCCAGAAACACCACAGTACCCAGACACACCCAGCTTCCCTGATACCACCTCCATCTCCACTACTGAGTTCACCAGCCCTGTGGAGGATTACACTGATCTGACCACCGTTGAGGTCACTGATGACCGCAGCACGTGGGGCATGACCCAGGCCCAGAGCGGGCTGGCCATTGCTGCCATTGTCATTGGCATCGTTGCCCTGGCCTGTTCCCTGGTTGCCTGCATCTGCTGTTGCTGTTGCAAGAAGAGGAACCACGCGGTCCTGATGCAGATGAAGGCGCCCAACGAGTGTTGAAGAGGTGGGCTGGAGGCAGGGTTGTGGACCAGTGGGACCACTGGAGGATCTGGGAATTTCATTGTCCTACCTCCACCCCTGGGTCCACAGAGCCACCCCCTGCTTCCTCTTGCTGGTCTCCAAGAGACCTGCCTGGTTCTCCACTAGAGAACCACAGGAGAACCAGCTCTTGCAGGGCCTTCTTACCACCAGGAAGCCCCAACTGGCCTTGGCAAGAACCCCACGGGGTTTCTAATTCACGTCCCCGGGCTTCATGTGAGAAAGCCCTCTCCACAGCCTTCACCAGCTCTCCTCTGACAAGCTCTCCTGGCCCATGGCCATGCTGGCCTCTGGACTCAGTTACCATTCCTGCTCACTTTGTGGTAAGAGTTCTCCATGGGGACAGCTTCTCTCCCAAGTAGGATGTAAGTTGATTTTCCTTCCTTTGCTCCCTGCCTTTGTGGCATGGCTCTCCCCTGTCCCCTCAAATGAAAGATCTCCCGTGAGTTTCCGCCCCTGAAAGCAGGGTGAGTTCTCTCCTCCAAAAGGCTCCCACCTGCTCGGCTGGCGTCCTGAGAGCTGCCAAGGGCCTGGCTGCAGGGTGTGAAAGAGGCCGCTCAGTTCCTGCAGGGAGAGCTGCTATCAGCATCTCTCATGGGGTCGTTACCTGGAAAAGGAAGAAGGGCACCTGTGCGGCAAGCCAGCCTTGTAAAGAAGATTTCCGAACTGCAAATTTTGACTTTAACATTTTGGTCCTTTGAGAAATAAGATCATGTAGAATGTCTGACCCCTAAAAACTCTTAAAATCAGCGTATTAGTACTAGATGAGAAAGCACCCTAGAACCTGGGGGTCCTTATGTTCATCCCAGGGTTTTTATCTTTTAGCTTTTTATTGAAGTATAACATGCATACAGAAAAGTGGGAGCATGGTTGTGTAGAGTCTGATGGATCTTCACAAGCGGTTCGCGCCCGTGGAATCAGCATCCAGATCAAGAAACTAGACATCACTAGTATCTTCCATCCTGGGCTTTGACTGGAGAGGACAGGCTTGTGGAGATGGGTCCCCATGAGCCTGGACGGCCCCTCACTGCCCCTGCCAGCCCGCCCTTGCCAAGGCCCAGCTCTCAGGGGTGAAGGAGTCAATGTGGGTGTGTTATGGCCTGGACAGGAGATGTAATCGGATCCCCACACCCCAAGTCACCCCACACCCAAGTCACCAGGACGGCCTGGTCAGGGTCGTCCTGACACCCCTTTCTCTGCCAGCCAGCTGTCTGCTGCTCATTGGAGGCCCCTCTGCCTGGGCCTTTTGGGCATGCTATGCCTATGTCTGTTTTTAATTTTCACTTTCCATTTGGGGGAAGTGAAATAGTTCAGACATGAGATCCTTTAATTGAACAGCCGAGTGTAATGGAACCTGGTAATCCTTCTAGTGTGGTAAGATTCTCCACCAGTGTTCCAGTCAGCTAGAAACTGAAGTTCAGAATGCTCGCATACAGTAGGCAACACAGGGCACACAGATGGGTCACCCTGGGTCTGGGGGCTCTCCAGAGTTCCTTCTGCCTGTGGCCTGGTTATAAGAGTTGAGTTGTTTGGTTCCTTGGGTTACAACCACGTAAATACCTGCTTTCATCACCCTCCCTGCTACACACATATTTATGCTGGTAAAGAAACTGTGTTCATGGCAACTCATGTTTCTGTCTGGACAACTGGTCGGTCTATCAGTCCCAAAGTAAAGCAGTGAAATGGAGAACTTCAGGTCTCTGCCCAGGAAAGAGCTGCAGCCAGTGCTATAAGCATTTGAAAATCCTGACTGGAAAAAAAAAGAAAAAGAAAATCCTGACCGGCTCTTCCTTGTTTCCTCTGTCCCACAAAACAAATAAGAAATCCCCCGAGGTCTTAGCAGCATGATGCTGACAGACCCCCAACAAAAAGGGTCCAGGAAGGGATGTGCATAAGAACTAGCACACTGCATAGTTTTTACTCTGTGTCCCGGAGAATCTGGGAAAGATGGGGCCTGTCAAAGGCAAAAGACATCTCCCCAACGTAAATCTGGGTTTCCAAAACGTTTTCAAAATGTTTATAGCAACCGGTGGACATGTTCTGAGACTTGCCAGGACCCAAGAGGAAGTGAGCCCAGAGCCTGGGGCATGGGCATCTTTCCACCCGATGGTGGCCTGCCCAGTTGATTCTGGGGCCTCCAGGGAAGCTGGGCTGCTTTCCTCCAGGGAGAAGCATGTACTCCTCGAGGTGTTCCTTAGGAGCAGACGACAATGTCTCATGTGCAAGGGTGCAAGCGGGCCAGACATGGCAGTGAGGGGAAGGAGGCATCCTTTTCACCTAGAATGTCCCGCCAATCTGAACCCAGAACGCTTGGGTATTTGTGGCATTGGCCATGACTTTGGAGTTCCTTTCTCGCGGGCCCAGGATATCAGCATGTTTCCCCAGGCCATAGGCTAACCTGAGGGCAGCTGTCATGAGATGTCTCCATGCAGGGCACCCCCCAGGGGGGGTGGTGAACCCGTTACCCGACCCTTTGAGCTTGCCTGTTCCTTCCTCCCATTAGAGTGGATTGGATGGAGCCATTGGGTCTCCTCTTCCTCAGCAGGGCTTTGGCCTTTCTGAACCATGTTGTCTGGTCAGGGAGCTACCAGAAAAGCTGGATGAGGTTTCTTTTCCAGTAAGACATTGCATCTGCTCACTTCTCAGGACTGGAGTAAGCTTCCTGGTCCCCCAAAGTTGAGGTAGGCCACAGAATCCACTTTAATTTCCCCATTTGCCTACCGGCCCCTAGGATACCTTGCCAGTAGCAGCAGACTCCATTTGGAGTGAAGAGTCAACGTAGGAGGAAAGAGAATAAAAGCCAGTTGGAGCCATTGTTCCTCAAAAACACTTAGGGTGTCTAGATACCCTTTAAAGGACCGAACGAGCATTTTCCTTTTAAGCCTGACAACACCCCTGTGTGTGGGTACGACGGTTATCCCCTGGAGATGGGTCTAAACTCACTCTTTCTTCTGCAACGTTATTCAGCGGGCTGTGGGTTTTCTTCTCTTCACGCTTGTACAAGACCCCATGGCCTGTCCTGGGCTTTCATCCATAAAGAAGAGGAGGGCCACTTGCCTGTGGTTTCCTACAGTCTGAGCCGTTGGCACCTGTTTGGTACCGCGTGGATCGGAAGCTTGTCAACACAGGAGATCCCTAAGCCCGCCCGTCCGTCAAGGAAAGAGCAGTTTCAGGCAACTGTTTCCACACTCAGGAAGCTTACGGAGAGCAGGCAGCGAGAGAGACCTAGAGACCGAGCGCCGGTACGCAGACCCCCGCTGGGTCCTAGCCTCTAGCTACAAACCGCCCAGAGTCCAGCCCACGGGTCCCACAGCCAGAACCGAACCCGAGCGGTTGGGGAGGTGGTGGGGGTGGGCTCGGGGAGGAAGCCCTCAGTGTGGTTCAGAGAAGGGGCAGGCGCTTCTCCAGGCCAGACTTCGCCCAGCTGTGCTCTCCCTCCCCCGAGGAGAGGTCATTGCACCAACCAGCCCGCTGCCTTCCTGCTGCGCTGCCTTCAAAAGTAGATGGTGTTTGCCTCGCTTAGGGAATCATTGCAAATAGTCCCAGGTGCTTGGTGACGCATTTAGAAATTTCTAGGCCCCCAGGGTTTTATAGACTGTGAGCCCTGGAGGGCAGGGTTGGGGGACTGTCTTTGCTGGATGCTGCCTGTAACAAATTTGGTGTACAGAGTCAACAATAAACGGTATACGCAGGACAACTGAGCGTTGGGTGTCTCGGCTGTGGAATCTCCCACCTGTGGATTCTCCTCTTGTACGTGCATGTAAGGCTGACCCAGACAGACCCTCAAGGAGAAGAGGTGCTGAGCCTGGAAAGAGACGAAAGTGAATGGGGAACAAAAATGGAGTAACAAACGATATTTATCGGCCGCTGTCGTGGGAAGGAGTCTTAATAGGGTCAAACCGTTTCAGAGATGAAGGAAGTGAGATCGAGGCAGGAAATGAATCTGCTCAAATCTTAGTGAGCGAATTAATGCCGGAGCTCACACTGCAGGAGGTCTCCAGACTCCCAGACTGGGGATTCTTCTGTGTCACCAGAAAGGCTATTCATTTAACCTGCGTGCACATGCATGTGCGCGTGTGCACGCACACACACACACACACTTAGGTAGGTAGGACTCTTCCTGCACACCACAGCATTCCTACCAGTGCCTCACACCAGGCTCAGTGAGTCACAGGCTCTCAGAAGACACCATCTGAGTGACAGGGACTCCCTCCAAAATGTCCAGGTGTCCTCAGGACTTCTTCAGGTCTGTGGACTCCAGGAGGTGGCCACAGCTGCCAGCACAGCTTGAGAAAAGGATGGTCCTCTCCGATGTTCCTTTATCCCACTGCTGTGCCCAGTAAAGACGTTTCTAGCTGAATTTTCCTGGCTCTTCTAGCTCTTACATCCTCTCTGGCAGGTGTAGGCTTGTCCGAGGCAGGTGGACCCAAACAGGGGGCAATAGTATGCTCACCATATCACGGGCTGGACCCCTTCAGTGACTGGGGCAGGGCCTCTTGTCCCCCTAACCACTGAACCTGTCCACAAAGACAGGTTTCTGGAGTTTTGGCTAATGGAAAAAGGGGTCAGAGTCCTCATCCCATTTCCCAGAAAGTCCCTAGAGTTCTTAATGCAAATCTCCCCTCCACGCACACACATACACCCAGGGTATCCTGCTCCTACCTGAAGTTTGATTTCGTGTGTGTGTGTGTGTGTGTGTGTGTGTGTGTGCACCCCCATTCCACAGATAGGCAAAGACTTGTAGAGATTAAATAATTTGCATAAGGGCTGGTTAGTTAGTTGTGATCTTTCCTCTTTCATTCGTGATTTTACTAGTTTGAGTCTTTTTTTTCCCTTTTAATAAAGTTGGCTAATGGTTTATCTATTTATTAATGCTTTCAAGGAACCAACTCCTGGTTTTGTCGATGTGTTCTACACTGCTTCTGGTCTCTACTTCATTGAGTTCTGCTCGTATCTTTATAATCTCTCTTCTTTTGCTTGCTGTAGGCTTTATTTGCTGTTCTTTCTCCAATTCCTTTAGGTGTGAAATGAGCTTGTGTATTTGATTTCTTTCCAATTTTGTATTGCGATGTATTTCCCTCTTAGGACCGGTTTTGAATCGTTGTGTCTTCATTTTCATTAGTTTCCATGAATCTTTTAAATTCTTCTCTAATATCCTTTCATCTTTTAGTAGGATGCTCTTTAACCTCCATGTGTTGCTTCCAAATGTCTTCTTGTGATTGAGTTTTAGTTTCAGAGCGTTGTGGTCTGAAAATATGCAGAGGACAATCCCAGTCTTTTGGTATCAGTTGAGACCTGACTTATGACCCAGTATGTGGTCTATCCTGAGAAAGTTCCATGTGCACTTGAGAAGAGTGTGCATTCAGTTGCATTCGGATGGAATGTTCTGTGATATCTGAAGTCTATTTGGTCCAGTGTATCATTTTAAGGGCCTTGTTTCTTTGGTGATGTTCTGCTTAGAAGATCTGTCACTTGCAGAAAGTGCCATGTTGAAGCCTACTATTAGTGTGTTATTATCTAAGTATCTGTTTACTTTGGTTGTTAATTGATTGATGTACTTGGCAGCTCCCACATTAGGGACATAAATATTCATGACTGTTAGGTCTTCTCGTTGGATAGACTGTGTTTTGTTTGTTTTTTGTTTTTTGTTTTTTGGACAGACTGTTTAAGTATGATTTAGTTTTACTCTTCATATCTTTCTACAGTCTTTGGTATAAAGTTTAATTTATCTGACATGAGGATGGCTACCTCAGCTTTCTTTTGAGGACCATTTAAATGGTAAATGGTTCTCCACCCTTTCATTTTCAGGCTGGAGGTGTCCTTGGGTCTAAAATGAGTCTCTTGTAGACAGCATATAGGTGGGTCTTGCTTTTTTTTTTTTAAGATTTTATTTATTTATTCATGAGGTGACACACAGAGAGGTAGAGACACAGACAGAGGGAAAAGTAAGCTCTATGCAGGGAGCCCGACGTGGGACTCGATCCCAGGACCCCAGGATCATGTCCTGAACCGAAGGCAGATGCTCAACTGCTGAACCACCCAGGAGTCCCAGGTCTTGCTTTTTTATCCAGTCCAATATCCTGTGTCTTTTGATGGGATCGTTTAGCCCATTCACCTTCAGAGTAACTACTGAGAGA